AAATTAATTTCAGTAATCAAAGTGGAAAATCTTGTGGCCCCGTTGTTCGATCCAGCCTATCCAGAGTAAGGAAATCCCAATATATACAAGTCTTACAATAACACGCTTATACAAAGCCACTTTTGTTAAATCATCGCTACACCCTAACATTTCAATAATAATACAAAAGCCAAAATGTGTATGCACATAAATGTTTTTGCTTTCGATTTCAAGATACAAGAAGTATGGGATATTGGGTTTTGTCATCGCTTATGAAATAATGCATGCTTTCAATGATGCAGGTACAACGAGTTTTTTTAAAATAAAATACGTGTGATGTATGTACTGATTGTTGAAAAATTAAGCTAAGGGAGAGGTGTAATATTGTTTTTTTTTATTAATCAGACTCCATTGGAATCGAGAGGCCACGCAGACATTTATACTCCGAGCAAACAAGGCTGAAATACTGGAGCAAGCACGAGTGCTTTATGAACCAGTACGACAAGTATTATATTTCTCACCCACTTAATTCAGAGCGGAATTTATACGTAAGTATATAGGTACGGTATATAATTTATTAATTTTAAGCAAACGCACAAGAGATCAATTTTTTCAGATTTATTCCTTTTTTATTTATTGATACAACGTGCAAGTATCGAAATGTCTCATGTTTTTATGTAAATTTTTAAATTGTTATTAAATTTCAATCAAAGATTTTTCTCCTTTAGTCAATTAACTATAAATTTACAATCTTAATTTTACTAGCTATGAAATTTAATTAAATGTTCTCCTTTAAAAATTTGGATGATTAAATATTAGGTGTTCCGTAAAAGAAGAGAATTTGCTTTCATTTATTTGAATTGATTATTTGAAAAATAAACAAAAATAATACTTCATTGACATCCATAATTAAAGCATAGAAAAAACATATTTTAAGGTAGTTGTTTCCTCAATCAAAAATATAACAAAAGGTACGAAATTTTCAGTAATACTTTTATAAGTATCGAGAAGTATGTATTCCATATACAAAATATGTATTAATCCCAGATCGATTTACCATGTAGTTATTGTAATATCCTCATCAAAAAATCACTCATTTCATCATCTATTAACGTAGGAGCGATTTGCAAACACTACATAGTCTCAAATTTTTTATTAAATTTGTTCATCAATAAAAAAAAAAATAAAAAAAAATAAAAGAAACTAATGAATCAGAAAAATTAAAACAAAATAAATCACAACAGCAAATTGATCAAATATAATACTTAAAAAATCATTCTACAAAACATACACTTCTATTGTAGCCAACTCTTAAATTTTTGTTGGTCGTAATCAGTAAAAAACTCTCGCTCTCCTAGAAGAGTACATTAAATGAACAATTATTTTCTGGAAAACTGTGGAGCTATACAGTGTCTGAAAATGTTATATGTAACTCTAAAATATGATTGTTAATTCGTATAAATTTTTTCAAGGAATTTCTAAATTTTTTGGATACAACCTTCTTAAACAAAGCATTTTCAGGACAATGCTTGTGGCTTAAAAAATTCTTGGTGTCTAGGTCGACGGTGAAAGATCAGCGTTGGAAAATATCGCCGATTCGTCGGCTATTCAAATAGCCATGCAAGCTTACCACGATAGTCACAACAAAAAACAAGTAGACCCATCCGAGGAGAACGACAAATCCTTTTTCTCGTCATTCGCTAGTGTACGTAAATGCTATACAAAAAAAAAAAAAATACTAAAAATAAAAAAAAAAAATATTCAACTGTTCTTGCAATATTTCAGCTTCTATGCCGGCCGGAGCTCGAGGCATTTTATCTGAGCCGCTTCAATTTTGCTTTACGGACACTGCCTCGATTTCGCGTCGTTGGTTCTTTAGCAAACATTGACGAGTTTGCCCGGACGTTTTCTTGCTTGAAAAACACCCAAATGAATCCTGCCATCAAGTGCAATTTTTGGAATTAAGTTTTTTAGGCACTCCTAAATTTTGTTTGTTTGCAAAATTTAAGGAGCGTAATACAATATTCATAAAAGTAAAAAAAATTATAATAAAAATATGTGTCATCCTGTTATTTTAAAATAATACTAATGTAAATTCGTTGCTTAATAAAAGATAATGTAAACATGTATATTTTGTTTTTACGCTGGACATGACATGTATCGTCTAAAACATTTTTTTTCTTTTGAGACTTCGTTAGCGTATGCAAAAAAAAAACATTTCTTACTTTATGAATAAAGGTAAAGTCAGGTGTTCGTTGCGTATGGGGTGCATGTGTTTACTTTAATAGTCGTTTGATTTTCTGAGTATCAAATTATGGACGAGTAAGAGTATACATGTAAAATTAATATCATTGGGAATAAATGTTTTGTTAGGGTATAAAAAATCTCGTGGGTTGGAATTATCCATAAAAAAGGTGTAGTGTAATATGGTTCTTGATGTCGTGGAAGGTATAGATTATTAATACTCTCACTTGGTTGAAAAACGTTACTTTACACTGCCTATCGCAATACGCGTAGACAATATCCATTAACATATCATTAGCTGCGTGTATCCAATCGCTTCAAACGTGTCGAGGTGTGTGCGATAATTTTGGAAATCGATTTTTTGCAGTTCATGTACAAATTCACTGGGTATTCAAGCGAGCAAAACGAAGCTCTTTACTTGTGCACATAAAGTAGTATTTTACAATTTAAATTACACAAAGAGGCATTTTTTCAATACATTTTAAAATAAGATGTAATTTCGATAAGATTCCTAAATAATTTTTAGCTTAAATCGAGAAACCCCTAGGTGAGTTTTTATTTGTTTGAATCTAAATGTATACTTAGAGCCACAAAAAATAATGAAAAAATTTTTACTGGTCATGAGCATGTATACGCATATCTATACTTTTTTTTTTTTTTAATTTTCATAGTACTCCTAGCAGTTGCGGAAATATTTTGATATCTAAAATGTATGTACGTGCGCGTGTGTTAATGAATTATCGTGGCCCTTTACGAAAAAAAGACGATTCAAAATTTTTTTTGATTCACAAGAAAAAGTATATCACTATTTGCTTGCAGTGATGTTGAATAGACTACTTAAGTAAATAAAAATAGTATGTTTGCTGTACCATCGAACTCAATGTTAATTCACCTCAAATTATGTACAACCTTTTGGCTACAGCCTAGAAACCTTTTTTAAGTACTATTTCCAGATTAATCATAGCATAATAATTCCACTTTTTTATTTACCTTGATTATCGCTTTTTTTTACACAACCTTTAATAAATTTACAGACGATTATATCTATATAGATTATATCTATACGAGAAAATTAAAGCAAAACCACTAAAGATCTCGTATCTCAAGAAACTCTTATAGTAGCTCAGAGAATCTTTCGTAATTACTGATTTTGCACATAATTATGAGAATAACTGAATTAAAAATAAGAGAAAACTGAGTAAAAAAAAAATGTTTTATTATTATTGAATTGAGTCTTTACATGTAAAGTTAAGAATAAACACAGAAAAATATGTAAGTGAATTGGTTTTTACATGAACTTTTCTTTTATCACACGGAAAACTGTTATCATTCATTTAAGTGATTAATAATATACTCCCTCAATCAAAAAGGATACATTTTTTGGGTGATCATTAACACTAGCTTTCACAATGATGTAGGTCTGTCATTGTTCGTGTATAAACTTTTTTTTTTTTTCTAAAAACATATAGTTTTTACGTTAAATTTCAAGCAGTCTTTAATAAATGAAAGTTTCAAAATTTTTTTACTGATTAATTAGAGAAATTAGATTCATACATTTTTTGGATTAATGGATTTTTAATGAATAATTGGACACTTTCATTAAACTTATCTGCACTACTTACTAATGGCTAAAAACTATTTTTTAAATGTACAGTGTTAAAATTGAATATAAATTTAAAGATTTAGTACCTTAAAGTGCAGCTGAGTAATTATTATTTAATTTTCTTTTTTTTCCTATACTGATGAGCTCATGTAGTACATATCCCAGCTTTACTTGGCTTTTTTGTAAATTTTTGTTATTAAATGTACTTCTAACAAAAGTCGTTTTTTTTTTACCTTTACTAAACTTTATTTCAAGTCACTTTGGTAGTAAAATAATATCCTTGTTACAAATACTTATTAATGTAATAATCTCAAATAAAATATGTAACTGTCACTGTATTATGCAGTCAACTATTTTTTCAAATATTACTCGTATGTTTTTATGAAATGTCCAGAGAAAACCTAAACTTTAGTTTTCATAATATACTTATACCTATTTTGCTTTTTTATGTAAGAGCTTTGTGATAGCATGTTACAAATATGTGTTCTGAACTTCGTAATGAAAGTACTATTTAAATTTTCTGAAAGTTCAAATGGTGTAGTGCCATTACATTTTGTAGTGTTAATCTTTCTCACAAATATTGAATAATTTAAAAAGATGATAAAAGTTGAGGACATAATTTTTCGTTTAAACGCATTACGTTTCATGTTTTAAGCTTAAAAATTACAAAGTATTTAGTATTTATTCTCAGATCGTTGCTTGAACAATATGGTTCTTTTAATAGTGTGACCACTATCAGAAAAAAGCTACAACAAAGTCCTAAATAATCGGATTACCTTTATTTCTTAACTACTATTTTATTTTTTCCAATAGAAACAAAATTATAAAAAATCCAACGACACCAAAGACGACAGCCTACAGAAAAAAAAACCAATGGCTGAAAGCTCAAACTTTTCAAGGAGTTCCCATCAGTGCAACGTTTGCGGGAAAAACGTATCCACGGCTTTTCATCTCAAGAGGCACCAACTCGTTCACGCAGAAGTAAGAGCCTTCCAGTGCTCAGTTTGTGCTAAGGTATTTAAAAAAAAAACTCACCTCACAACCCACGTGTGGACCCACACGGAAACAAAGCCCTTTCACTGTACGGTGTGTCAACAAAAATTTGGCGACAAAAGCAATCTCTCCAAGCACATGCGGACGCACACCGGCGAAAAGCCCCACAAGTGCCCGTTATGTCCCAAAGCTTTTGGCCAGAAAAACGACTTAAAGAAGCACACGCAAACCCACACGGGAGAAAAACGCTTCAAATGCGCGTTATGCTCGCAGACATTCAGCAACAAAGGCAATCTCACGAAGCACACGACGATACACGCAGGTGAAACGCCATTCGAGTGCTCGTTGTGTCGGAAATCGTTCGGCCGTAGGGGCACCCTCACAGTGCACATGCGGACCCACTCGGGCGAAGAGCCCTTCTCGTGCAAGATATGCTCCCAGAGATTCAGCTTCAAGGCCAGTCTCACGTACCACATGCGGACCCACACCGATGAAAGGCCCTTCCAGTGTGCCATTTGTTCCCAATCCTTTCGGCGGTCCCAAACGTTCAAGAAGCACGTGCGTTGTCATGCGAGTGGTTTCGACACTTCCCTGGCCTGCCACCAGTGCCTACTCTACTTCGAGGACCCGGACAGTCACAAGCACCACAAACTCGTCCATCACTTTTACTCCTGTCCTTTGTGTCCACTGTCCTTTGCTCAGGGCAGGGACGTTTCGACGCACATGGCCAGCCAGCACTGCTTCCCCTGCGACACGTGCCCTGGAATTTGCACCACGTCCTACGATCTCGTCAACCACAAACATAAGATTCATGATTGACGCCAGAGTACCTCCTCGTTTTGGGGGGACCACACATTTAGTTTTGGCCAAACTTCATGAATTTTCTGTGAGGGTGCTTTCGTTGTTCAGTTTTTGTGTGTGTGTGTGGAAAAAAAAACTCTTTTCCATAAAAATGGCAAATATCTTTGTAAAATTATGTCCATCCCACATAATACCCGACAAGTTGAATTATAATCTTTACTTTTGTGAATTAAATACAAAATTATTTCATTGGATTGAGTAAAGGTTGATTGATCCATAAAAAAGTTTGCCAAAACAAAGAACTTTATGTATTCATACCTTGTAAATTTAATTAGAATGTACTGTATTTAAAAAAAATTTTCCCTTTGTTTTTTTAATAAATTGTTTATCTTATGTAACTTACCTTACATCTAGAAATGTTAATTATAAAAAATCAAAATATTGTGTCCATGCTTTTCGAGAAATTATTGTTACAATTATTAAATGGAAATTTTAGATTAAAACTTGGATTTAATACAAAATGATTTATTTTCCTGCCTTATTGATGTTTAGTTTTGCTTGTACCTTATTTCTCCGTTTTTATATTCTTAAAACATAGTTTTCAACCCTAAGATTGTTATTTTTTCATGTAATCATTTACTATTAAAAAAAAATTCCCCGTTACTTCGGAATCCTAAAGCAGTATTGTGCCCAGAATTACGCAAGCTCTAATACTATAAGCAGGCATAGGCTGTCTGTGTGTTTACAAATACCCCGTACTTAATTTGATTAAAGTTAGTCCATTGGCATAGGTATGTCATATAATAAGAGCAGCCACGAATTCTACAGAAGTGCCTCGTATAGTTGTGGACGTGGCCGCACGAACCCCCTCTACGATATCTATAATACCACTACTTAAAATACGTTTGATAGTTTTGTAAATCGTTTCTTTGTATAGATATGGATTGGCTTGTTGGACATCGAAACGAAGCTATTTGTTTAGTGTACGTGCAGTAGATCTCTTGTGTATGCTATACTTTTAAATATTATATAGTACAGAATAATTTAGTTAATTGAGTACATTCAGTCAATTTAGTCACATGAGTACAAACAAATAGTACATGTGAGTGAGTAATAATTTAACCTTATAAGCAAATTTTGCAAATTAGAAACAATTTTGATAACAATACTAAGTCATTGTTGGAAAATCTGCTGCAGCAAGTACCTGGACAACGCAATCGTAGCTTGGTCTAATGACTCGAAGTGGAGAGAAACCCAAAGGTGCGTTTTTATTTTACAATGTCGTAGCTCATTCATAGGCACAGTTTATTTATATTTCGTAATGCTTTTTTTTCGAGTCATCTCCTTTTAACCTAAAAATAATTAATTGGCTTACTTCAGCCTTAAAAGTTGAGTTATCATATATTTTGTACTATATATGTTTTACACACGCATTATCGAGTTGTTCCCGTATTTTTCCCAAGTGACAACGCATGTGATAAACATCACATTTTTTAGTCTTTCGTTGACACACCACACTTATTGAAATTGGAACGCAATTCATCAATGGTAGTACGACATTTCCAAAAAACATCAGTAGCCCTGCACGGAAAAAAATTACGGTGATACGAGACCTTAAAATTTTATGGAATAATAGTACTTGATTCAACAAATTTCACTTTACCTTCCATTGTTCAGAACATCTGCCAACTTGGTAATATAACTCAGAGTTTGAAGCATCGCATTCAAAAGCTAAGAATCAGAGATCTCCGAGTTAGATTGGCTACTGAGCTCAGTTTTCTTGAAAATAGTAAATTTTTCTTTCACTTTGTGTCCTTATGTCAAACGTTTGTTGTCGACAATTTCTGTTTCACTATATGTGTAAGTGTTTGAGCCGAGAGACTTCCAAGAAAATTGGACTACGTATGTAATTGTTTTTAATTGGTTTGGCTCTGAACTTTGGAAATCGATGCTTTGAGCCTCGTGTTCTTTGGATTTAATGACTCATGTGATAATTTAACGAGTTTAATATGTGAATAAAACGTTTTGGTTTTTTTTTTTTTTAATCATTATATAAAGTATCAAGTAAGGACTAATAAAAAAAAAATTTTTTTTACCAAAATACAGTTTAAAGTTTAGAGCTCTAAATTTTCAAGTTAAAAATTCTAGCATTATCAATTGTTTTTTCGTGTGGAAAGATAGGCACTAGTGTAAAATAGTTTATTTTTTAGTAAATGTGCAACACAAGTAGTCTGCAGGCGACACATAATGTAAATGAGTAAAAAAATACGGTAAATTGCATTATTAGTATCGATATTATTTTTATTTAAGATATAGATAGCATCTCGACCATAGTTGTGGAATATTATCCACATGAATTAAATGAATTATAAATGCATGATAATGTAAATTAGATAGAAGATACTTGCAGCGCATAATTTATGCAAATTGTACGAATAATTGTAATTTTATGTCAATATTCTAAAAGTCAGTGTAGCCTAAACGAATATCGATTAAATAAAAAAAAGTGACAATTTTTTGTGATTATTTAATTTTAATACATAAGTGACAGGTTGCTTCTTAAATTAAATACTTGGAAATATACAACCTCAAATCCATAAAAACGTTTTCAACAATATTTCAATTATCCATGGAATTTACTTAAAAGTACTATAAGTAGTTTAATTTTTGGTAAAAATTAGATAAAAAAACAAAACCTAGCTATAATAGGACGAAAAACGATCAAAGACGTGAGAATTAAGAAATAATTTTTAACGAGTTTTAATAAAAACCAAATCTGTTGAAGAATCCTGTCCAAAGACACGAAGTAGAAAAGATGAATTGTCGATGAACACAATGACCACGTGCTATTTTTGTCTTCACGCAGGAATCCAAACGACTTTGAAACTCACGACCCAGCAACGCCAATGTCAAGATTCTGCAAAATCGACGGTGACTTGTGACTTTTCCGGCGCATCGCAGATATGATCGAAGAATCGGTTTCCCCCATCGGTTACAGCCTGAGTGACCTGTGCAACAGAATTTCCCTCGCGGCATCTGAATCGGACGAGACGCAAAACCTTCTGTTTACAATGAAAACCTTCCAGTGTTTGGTGTGCGACAAGACGTTCAAACAAAAATCCCACTTCTTGACCCACATGTGCACCCACGTTGGTAAACTGCCGGATTACTCCCAAATTATCGGAAACCTGTACCCGACCAACCAAACCAGCCAAGCATCCTTCACCCCCTCCATGAATCAGCAATCCATCGTCCCAAATGGTAACTTCACGCAAGACACGCCAGGTCACCAGCTCAACCTCAACTACTTCAGTGGGGTTTCGCAAACCTTCATCCACATGAGTGGTTTCGACACTTCCCTGGCCTGCCACCAGTGCCTACTCTACTTCGAGGACCCGGACAGTCACAAGCACCCCAAGCTCGTCCATCCCTTTTACTCCTGTCCTTTGTGTCCACTGTCCTTTGCTCAGGGCAGGGACGTTTCGACGCACATGGCCAGCCAGCACTGCTTCCCCTGCGACACGTGCCCTGGAATTTGCACCACGTCCTACGATCTCGTCAACCATAAACGCGAAGTTCACGGTGTTTAACCAGTTACTGTATTCATTTTCCAAAAACTAACTTAATACATATCGGACGGATATACTTGTTCCGATTTTTCCTCTGTGGATCACGTTGTAGAGTGTGCGTGAGTATGTTTATGTTTGTTACAATGAAAAGATATTTAGAAGTTGGAACTTTATCATTTTTGCGGTGTACAAAATTATTTTTATTATTTCTATGAAAACTTATCAATGTATACTCATCGATTTGTAATAAATGTAATTCCAACAAAATTTGTCATTTGCAGCGAAGGTACCGATATATATTTACCATCCCTTGCAACTAACTTACGTATACACTTTTCATGATGTGTGAAAGAGTCTCTTTCTCTCGGGTAAATTAAAAATAGAAATGCAAGTCAAGTAGCAATGGTACTTACGTATCAACTCTACAATAGTCGAATTTATCTATATTTTTAGACTTTCTGTTTTTTGTTTTGAATGATGATGTTTAAAAAAAAGATTCTTTGTTTATACTTATACTCGAATGTACGAGAGGTTTAATGAAAAATAAAAATAAACTGTAAGAAACAGTCATTAAAATCGACTCTTGAATTAAAATGGGTTATTTAGTACAAGAAAAACCTTAATAACCAGACGTAAACTTACCGAGATAAATTCCATTTTGACAATGTTACACGTATTTTCTGTAAATTAGGAGATATGGGGCTCGGGAAATGTGGTATGCTGTCACAAAGCACGTATGTATACCTACTTTATATCATCTATTAACTGCAGTTTCCATCCCGTCATTGCACCGCGCAAATGTACAGATCGACAGACACTTGGTAAGGTCACACTAACATTAGGAACATATTATTTTCATTACATAGGGGTAAGTGTACCTATCTCCGTGGCACGTACTGAAAATTCCAACTTAAATGCACCATAAAAAATGGTATACTAAAATTTTTTGGAATATTTTTTTTTAAATCTTACATAATCTCTTACGGAATATTTACAAAAATTTTATGAAGCTAAAACTGCAGTAGAATATTTTTAAAACGAATAAAAACGGTATGCTGGTATTACCGTGGTTGTGTACCTATTACCGTGTACGTATTACCGTGTACCTATAGTCAAAATATACATAAATATTTCTGTTTGAATTGCATCTACATTAACGTTATTTTAGATTATTAAAATTGAAAAATTATTTTATATGAAACATTTCTTATTTTGAACAAGTAATCATCAGTTTTTCAAAATCCACGGTAATAGGGCAGAGCACGGAGATAGGTACACTTACCCCTAGGTCAGATGACTTAAACTGGTTTGTTATTACGTTCAACATAAATTCGTAAAAAATGCAGAGACAAAAACTTATCAATATGTTTCGTACGTAAGTTAGCATGAGCTAATTTTACGTAAAATAGGTATACCTTAGTAAATCAAAATTTTGCGTATCGAAGAAATAGTATATTTAAGTCAGACACGAAATCTGTACTTTACGTTTATAGATGTTATAAAAACGATATACTAATAGTAAATTATTTACGAATCAAATAATGTAACGAATACAATATTTAATGATTTTTGTTTGTCTGCATTAGGAAATTTTTGTTTTCTTAATCGACCTTTGAATAAATTGAGTTAAATTAATTATGATTTGTGAGCTTTAAGCGATTTTAAATAAAAAAAAGTCTATTTTTCCCAGCAAACTCGCTTTCAATGAAATCTAACATGTATAAATAAATATAACAATTAAAATGTATAGTGTAAAAAATGAATTATAAATGCATGATAATGTAAATTAGATAGAAGATACTTGCAGCGCATAATTTATGCAAATTGTACGAATAATTGTAATTTTATGTCAATATTCTAAAAGTCAGTGTAGCCTAAACGAATATCGATTAAATAAAAAAAAGTGACAATTTTTTGTGATTATTTAATTTTAATACATAAGTGACAGGTTGCTTCTTAAATTAAATACTTGGAAATATACAACCTCAAATCCATAAAAACGTTTTCAACAATATTTCAATTATCCATGGAATTTACTTAAAAGTACTATAAGTAGTTTAATTTTTGGTAAAAATTAGATAAAAAAACAAAACCTAGCTATAATAGGACGAAAAACGATCAAAGACGTGAGAATTAAGAAATAATTTTTAACGAGTTTTAATAAAAACCAAATCTGTTGAAGAATCCTGTCCAAAGACACGAAGTAGAAAAGATGAATTGTCGATGAACACAATGACCACGTGCTATTTTTGTCTTCACGCAGGAATCCAAACGACTTTGAAACTCACGACCCAGCAACGCCAATGTCAAGATTCTGCAAAATCGACGGTGACTTGTGACTTTTCCGGCGCATCGCAGATATGATCGAAGAATCGGTTTCCCCCATCGGTTACAGCCTGAGTGACCTGTGCAACAGAATTTCCCTCGCGGCATCTGAATCGGACGAGACGCAAAACCTTCTGTTTACAATGAAAACCTTCCAGTGTTTGGTGTGCGACAAGACGTTCAAACAAAAATCCCACTTCTTGACCCACATGTGCACCCACGTTGGTAAACTGCCGGATTACTCCCAAATTATCGGAAACCTGTACCCGACCAACCAAACCAGCCAAGCATCCTTCACCCCCTCCATGAATCAGCAATCCATCGTCCCAAATGGTAACTTCACGCAAGACACGCCAGGTCACCAGCTCAACCTCAACTACTTCAGTGGGGTTTCGCAAACCTTCATCCACATGAGTGGTTTCGACACTTCCCTGGCCTGCCACCAGTGCCTACTCTACTTCGAGGACCCGGACAGTCACAAGCACCACAAACTCGTCCATCACTTTTACTCCTGTCCTTTGTGTCCACTGTCCTTTGCTCAGGGCAGTGACGTTTCGACGCACATGGCCAGCCAGCACTGCTTCCCCTGCGACACGTGCCCTGGAATTTGCACCACGTCCTACGATCTCGTCAACCATAAACGCGAAGTTCACGGTGTTTAACCAGTTACTGTATTCATTTTCCAAAAACTAACTTAATACATATCGGACGGATATACTTGTTCCGATTTTTCCTCTGTGGATCACGTTGTAGAGTGTGCGTGAGTATGTTTATGTTTGTTACAATGAAAAGATATTTAGAAGTTGGAACTTTATCATTTTTGCGGTGTACAAAATTATTTTTATTATTTCTATGAAAACTTATCAATGTATACTCATCGATTTGTAATAAATGTAATTCCAACAAAATTTGTCATTTGCAGCGAAGGTACCGATATATATTTACCATCCCTTGCAACTAACTTACGTATACACTTTTCATGATGTGTGAAAGAGTCTCTTTCTCTCGGGTAAATTAAAAATAGAAATGCAAGTCAAGTAGCAATGGTACTTACGTATCAACTCTACAATAGTCGAATTTATCTATATTTTTAGACTTTCTGTTTTTTGTTTTGAATGATGATGTTTAAAAAAAAGATTCTTTGTTTATACTTATACTCGAATGTACGAGAGGTTTAATGAAAAATAAAAATAAACTGTAAGAAACAGTCATTAAAATCGACTCTTGAATTAAAATGGGTTATTTAGTACAAGAAAAACCTTAATAACCAGACGTAAACTTACCGAGATAAATTCCATTTTGACAATGTTACACGTATTTTCTGTAAATTAGGAGATATGGGGCTCGGGAAATGTGGTATGCTGTCACAAAGCACGTATGTATACCTACTTTATATCATCTATTAACTGCAGTTTCCATCCCGTCATTGCACCGCGCAAATGTACAGATCGACAGACACTTGGTAAGGTCACACTAACATTAGGAACATATTATTTTCATTACATAGGGGTAAGTGTACCTATCTCCGTGGCACGTACTGAAAATTCCAACTTAAATGCACCATAAAAAATGGTATACTAAAATTTTTTGGAATATTTTTTTTTAAATCTTACATAATCTCTTACGGAATATTTACAAAAATTTTATGAAGCTAAAACTGCAGTAGAATATTTTTAAAACGAATAAAAACGGTATGCTGGTATTACCGTGGTTGTGTACCTATTACCGTGTACGTATTACCGCGGATAAGTATAGGGTTATGTTTACGTACGCTCACCGCGGAAATACGTACACAATCAGTTAATGAGCGCGTTGTACCGAATACCGTGGAAAATAATTATTTACTCAAAATATACACAAATATTTCTGTTTGAATTGCATCTACATTAACGTCATTTTAGATTATTAAAATTGAAAAATTATTTTATATGAAACATTTCTTATTTTGAACAAGTAATCATCAGTTTTTCAAAATCCACGGTAATAGGGCAGAGCACGGAGATAGGTACACTTACCCCTAGGTCAGATGACTTAAACTGGTTTGTTATTACGTTCAACATAAATTCGTAAAAAATGCAGAGACAAAAACTTATCAATATGTTTCGTACGTAAGTTAGCATGAGCTAATTTTACGTAAAATAGGTATACCTTAGTAAATCAAAATTTTGCGTATCGAAGAAATAGTATATTTAAGTCAGACACGAAATCTGTACTTTACGTTTATAGATGTTATAAAAACGATATACTAATAGTAAATTATTTACGAATCAAATAATGTAACGAATACAATATTTAATGATTTTTGTTTGTCTGCATTAGGAAATTTTTGTTTTCTTAATCGACCTTTGAATAAATTGAGTTAAATTAATTATGATTTGTGAGCTTTAAGCGATTTTAAATAAAAAAAAGTCTATTTTTCCCAGCAAACTCGCTTTCAATGAAATCTAACATGTATAAATAAATATAACAATTAAAATGTATAGTGTAAAATTTTAGTGGTGTTGAATAAATTTTTTTTTCAATGTTGATTTACAAAACCTTGGATTTATAGAATGTAAAAATCATTACGAAAAATACCATAAATAACAGTTTTTGCACCAAAAACTTATTAGCGTAATCCATCAGATAAACGATCCAAAATAATACATCCAAGCACAGATATGTATAACCGATCTCCCGCACATATATATTCCCAATAACCACATAATATACACACACACGTCACAGTTTGCAAACGATAATAAACGACACATCCAATACACCTCTGCCCCGTTAGATTCATCAATCACCCAAACTGCACCTATACATCCGCGATCGGTTGGAAATCGGCGCAGTGGAGCAGCACGTCGACACCCCATCAATACACGAGTGGAACACCAGCTGAATATATATACAGGCTATTACCGATCGAAGACACTCCCGTCATCCTTCGAGATTACAACGATTAAGTACACTCTTGTATATATATATACAGGCGCACATAAACACGAAGGAGAGAGAGAGAGAGAGGAGTTGCTATAAATACAGTCGGTTCTGTCCTAATCGCGTGGAATCGGCGGCTGCAGCTGCATACATGTACCCGATGGACACGTTGCTAATGCAACATTAATTATGCCAAAACAGAGCGAAGGAGGGAGGGAGGCAAAAGACACTTGCACGTGCATATACACACGAGGTGTTTACAAGCATTTCGGTGCGGGTAGGGTGGGTGGGTGTCGAGAGAGAGAGAGGAGGCTTTGTTCCTGCGTGTAGGTATATCAGACGCGCGTCAACGACTTCATGCCGGTGGCTCTTCATTGTTGGTTACACGTGTGTGTGGCTCGCCAAATGCGGCGTGACGGCGAATATTAGTTATGTACTTGACGATATGTGCACTGGGCAGGGTTTCCCCGGTTTCTGTGTGTGACTGCGGGTCTGATGCTGCATCACGTATACAGTCGCGGGATATGCACGTCAGCTGTGGGCGAGAGGATGTTTACGCGTATAACGCAAGGATTCCAAGTGTTGGGTTGCTAACATTTTTTTTTGTATATCAAAACAATTTTATGATCATTCCACTGATTGTATTTTGAAAAGTTATTACTTTGTTGTATTTTTTTGATTTCACGATAATTTAATTTTTCGGGTCCATAATAATCGCACCTTAAAAGATTGTGTTTATAATTGTTTTTTATATCAAAACAATTTTATGATGATTTCACTGGTTGTATTATGAAAAGTTATTACTTTGTTGTATTTTTTTGATTTCACGATAATTTAATTTTTCGGGTCCGTAATAATCGCATCTTAAAAGATTGGTCGTCACGTGACAAGATCATTTGAGTTTGTTGTGCCATTGGTCAGGACGGATGACGTGGTGTGTTTGGTATATAATTAAAAAATTAAAATATATACAACAAACAAACGATTATAACATTTTAATGGCTTGGCCTTTTTCTAGAAACAATTTTTGCAAATCGTTTTATCTGATTAAAATTAATATGAAATTCAATTATACATTGTACATAATTGGGATATGTTATTTTACAATAATGTTTATTAACGATACATACAGTTTTATATGAATAAAAAAAATTTTTTTTGAACTTATTAATTCATATTATGTCATTAAAAAAAAGGAGCTATAAATAGTAAGCAAAATTATGTTTTTATGAGTGTTGCAGTATACTTATTTACTGATGAAATTAAAAAACACACACGAGTTTCGACGATGTCACGATCAGCTAAAAGCTATTTATAGGCTCAGCTGTACGGAATACGCGGAACGTATCATCGATCCAATAAAATGTGTTGATGACGAGAAATTGAGTTAATAATGTGACAGAGCTGGATGAAACACAAGGACAAACGGACAGCAACAACCGAGGAAGATAAGATTTATGTTTCCGGGAGCAGATTGTAGTTTTGAAAAAATTGTACTCGAGCTGAGATCGCTCCAACAATATCAAAGATAAGTTTGTTAGGGAACGAGTAGTAAACTTTTTATCATAGAACATGACAAGCAGCTATGATTAGAAATAAGTCAGTTTAATATTGAAAATAATGTCAATAAAATTTTACAATTGCCTCATTGTCGCCCGTGGTATAAAAAAGGTTGATATCGATTTCATGACATGCGACTATCTTGATATGAAGCACTGAGTAGGTATTAGGAAAGAAATGATGGAGCGAGACATTGACGAAGAGTAGCTAATTCTTGATTTGTATAACTAGTTTCATGAGAGCTATATATATTTTTTTTCATGAAACGGTTAAATAAAAGTGAAATGATAAACATAATCACACATTTACAGCCAAAAAACTAAATTTTTCTATTCCAATGAGGAATAAAAGAAAAGTTGTAATAATTTAAATATTATAACATTTATTGCGGTTGAAATCTCTATGATTTATGTAAAAAAATAATATTTATGTAGCAAAACTAGTTTGGATATCGTATCCTGATTATAATAAAATCAAAATAGTTGAATCTTAAGACAAACCACATGTTTAGTATTAATAGCCTAATCATTTTAAGCCTATAAGCATTGGCTTTTTAAAATATACACATGTAGGCATACTCTCTATCATATCCTACCTATCCATCCTAGGATTATCAAGTCTCCTCGTCGAATGCCGCGTCTCACACGCCTCGCAAGCTGTACCGTAGACGCGCAGATTTCGGCCAACTGGAACTCTTATAGGGCTAAATCTGTCTCGTGCACAACCCTCATACGCCATACACGTACACAGAGAGATATTTGGCAAAGTTATCGAATTAGCTGCTGATCGAGCACACCGAAGCATCTCTGCTTAACTAGTTTTCGAAGAGGCAAATGGGCGGGGGTCGGGGTAAGAGGCTAAGGGATATTTCGCTGATAATTAATTCGTCTCTATTATACACGATGTATACGGCGAGGGTCTGAGGAGAGGGCGCAAAATCAATTTCGCCGAAGCGAGCGCTGCTGCCTCCTACGACGTGTTCTATCTGTGTATCAATCTGTACCCATAGCTATACCTCATCACGTCGGGGTGTCGTGAGGCGCTACATTTTGTGTAGGTACATGTGCATATAATGTATAGATGTGCGTCGGAGACGACAACATTTTTAGATATATTTAACTATTGTTTTTATTAAATTTCTTGCGGGTTCTGAAGTGGTAAAACTTTATCAAAAGTAAAA